ATTATTTAAATGTAAATGGATTAAACTTTTCACTAAAAGGGCAGAGATTATCAGATGGATTTTTTAAAAATGATCCAGGGGTGCCTAGGTGACTCAATTGGTTAAGCGTCTGACTTTGGCTCAGGTCATGATCTCGCAGTTCGTGAGTTCGAGCCCCACATCAGGTTCTCTGCTGTTGGCACAGGGCCTGCTTCAGATTCTCTGTCTCCATTTCTCTCTATCCCTCACTGCGCATGCAAGCTTGTGCGCACGCGCTCTCTCTCTCTCAAAAATAAACACTAAAAAAACACATTAAAAAAATGATCCAACTATATGCTGTCTACAAGAGACTCACTTTAGGGGTACCTGGGTGGTTCAGTCGGTTAAGCCTCTGACATCGGCTCGGGTCATGATCTCACAGTTCATGAGTTTGAGCCCAGTGTTGGGCTCTGTGCTGACAGCTGTCAGCCCTGGAGCCTGGAGCCTGCTTCGAATTCTGTGTGTGTGTGTCTCTCTCTCTCTGCCCCTTCCCCGCTCACGCTCTCTCTTTTCTCTCAAAAATAAACATTAAAAGAAATTAAAAAAAAAAGAGAAACTCACTTTAGATTCAAAGACACAAATAGGTTGAATCGAGCTGGATTGGCTATACTAATATCAGATAAAATAAATGTTAAGATTAAAATTGTTACTCAAGACAAAGAGCACCATATAATGATAAAGGTTTCCATCTATTAGGAAGATATAATAACTATAAACATATATGGACCTAACAACAAAGTCCCAAAACGCATAAGCAAAATGTGATAAAGTTGAAAGGAGAAATAAACAACGTAACAGTCTCTATGGCTTAGAGAAAAGAAGTCAAAGGCTTACCAGAGGTTAGAATGTTAGAGTGGATTGCAATTTAAGACACTCCTCAGAGGGTCCAGAGGACACACCTTCCACTGGGACTTTGAGAAGTGAATTTGCGGGGAGGTGGGGGAGGGGCCCAGCGTCCTTGAACTCTCTGATCACTCATTTCTGCAGACCAGAACTTAACAGTGGTGACTGCTGCCACTGAATTGAGAAACCTAAACGAAATGAGAGTAACCGGACTCTAGTGGTAGGGGCCAAGTGGTGGCACTCAACCACCAAAGGCAAGGCAGGTATGGTTACCATAATGGATAGCAGAGTCGAAGCAGCCATGAGAAAAGTCTGACCCACAGACTATTCTGTGGCTTTAGCTAGTTGATCATTCTACTCCCAGAAGTGAAATAAATGTGAAGCTTACTCAATTCTTATTTGCTCTGTACAAGCAGAAGAGTTCTAGATCAAGTGAACAAAAGTCCATCTTGAATCATAAAAAACAGAGTCGCAGCCCCTCAATCAACTTCCAGACTTGAGCCAGTTCACAAACCCAAGTCCTTTGAATGAAGGGGAGGCTGGGTCACCTTGAGGAAGGACTCCAGCACGCTAGTGAAAATTTATACTGTTCATCTTTCTCTCAGCCTTCCACCACAGGACCTCTGGCCCTTACCAGGGTGACTGTGCATTGGGGAAAAGGCAATAATCAGACCTTTCAGGGATTACGGGACGTTGGCTCTGAACTGACATTAGTTCCAGGAGACCCGAAATGTCACTGTTGTCCACCAGTCAGAGTGGCCCTCCATAGGCCCTTATGGGGGTGAGATATGGGTTCAGTGGTCCCCAAAACCATCCTGTGGCTCTTCACCCGGTTCTGGAATGCACAACTGGAATGCACACTTAGCAGCTGGCAGAATCTTCATATCCGTTCCCTGATCCGTGGAGTAAGGGCTCTTATGGGGGGAATAGCAGAGGGAAAGCCGCCTGAACTGCTTCTACCTAAGAAAATGGTAAACCAAAGCAATACTGCATTCTTGCAATTCCAGAGATTAGTGCTGCCACCAAGGACTTGAAAGAGGCAGGGGTGGTGATTCTCACTACATTCCCATTCCAGTCTCCTCCCTGGCTTGTGCAGACGACAGATGGAGCTTGGAGAATGACCGTAGATTATTGCAAGCTTAACCAGGTGGTAACTCTAATTGTAGCTGCTCTACCAAAGTGGTTTCATCGCTTAAGCAAATTAACACCCTCCCCTGGTACCTGGTACGCAGCTATTGGGCTGGTAAATGCCTTTTTCTCCAGCCCTGTCCATAGGGCCCCCCAGAAGTAGTTTGCTTTCAGCTGGCGAAGCCAGCCGTACACCTTCACTTTCCTATCTCAGGGATGTAGCAACTCTCCAGCCTTATGTCATAATTTAGGTATCAGGAATCTCAATCGTCTTTCCCTTCCACGAGATATCACACCAGGCCATTACACTGATAGCGTTACGTAGATTGAGCCTTGTGAGTAAGAAGGAGAAAACGCTCTACACTTGTTGGTAAGACAGTTGCATGTCAGAAGATGGGAAATAAATCTCACAAAATTTCAGGGACCCTCTCTCTCTGTAAAGCTTCTAGGGGTGCAGCGGTGTGGGGAACGTCGAGACTCCCCTTCTAAGGTGAATGATAAGGTGTTGCATCTGGCCCCTACCACAAGCGAAAAAGAAGCACCATGTCTAGTGGGCCTCCGTGATTTTGGAGGCAACCGATTCCTCCTTTGGGTGGCCCACTCCGGCCTGGGTGACTCAAAAAACTGAGTTTTAAGTGAGGCCCAGAACAAGAGAGAAACCTAAATGACGGCCCCAAAAGTTGCCCTGCCACTTGAGCCATGAGATCCAGCCATCTCGATCACGCTGGAAGAGGCAGCGGCCGATAGAATTTGCTGTAAGCAAATCGCAGTGCAGGCCCTTAGGATTTGGGGGAGAGGCCTGTCGTCCTCTGCTGATAGCTACTCTCCTTTTGTGAAACTGCTGTAGGCCTGCTACCGGGCCTTAGTAGAGACTGAATGCTTCACGTGGAGCCACCAAGTTACCATGTGACCTGAGCAGCCCAGCATGAACTATATATTGTCTGACACATCAACCTGTAAAGGTGGATGTACACGGCAGCCCTCCACCATCATATGGGAGTGGTAATATACACGATCTGGCCCAAGCCGACCCCAAAGGCACAAGTAAACGCCACAAAGAAGCAGCCGGTTGGGGCACCTGGGTGGCTCAGTCAGTTAAGCGCCCGACTCTTGGTTTCAGCTCAGGTCATGAGCTCATGGTTCATGGGTTTGAGCCCCGCGTCGGGATCTGCGCTGACAGCACGGAGACTGCTTGGAGTCTGCTTGGAGTCCCTTCCCCACTCACTCTAAGTAAATAAATAAATAATAGGGGCGCCTGGGTGGCTCAGTCGGTTAAGCATCCGACTTGAGCTCAGGTCATGATCTCACACTCCGTGAGTTCGAGCCCCGGGTTGGGCTCTGTGCTGACCGCTCGGAGCCTGGAGCCTGCTTCAGATTCTGTGTCTCCCCTCTCTCTGACCCTCCCATGCTCATGCTCTCTGTCTCAAAAATAAATAAAAACATTAAAAAAGGTTTTTAATAAATAAATAAGTAAATAAACTTAAAAAAAAAAAAAGTGGCCCAAATGCCCCTGGTCCTCACCTCTGCTATATGGTCTCCTCTCGCCTGTAGCTGTATCTACGGCCTCATATGAAGTTCATTATGATCAGCTGGCAGAGCAAGTGGTATCGGGTCTGGATTATACAATTTGCAGGCACCACCTAAAGGGGACAGCTGCAACACTACCGTCCCTCTGGGACATCCCTTAAGGACAATGGTGAAGGGCAGTCTGCCCAGTGGCAAGACTTCAAGCAGTGTACTTAGTTGCTCATTTTGCTTGGAAGGGGAAAAGGCCAAACATGCAATTTTATGCTGATTTATGGGCCGTGCGAATGGTTTGCTTGGATGGTCAGAGAATTGGAAGGAAGACAATCGGAAAATTGGTGACAAAGAAATCTGGGAAAGAGGTATGTTAATAGGCCTCTTTGAACAGGGGACATGTGAAGATATTTACGTCCCACGTGAATGTTTACCAAAGGGTGACCTCAGCAGAGGAGGCTTTTATTTTGTTTTAAATGTTTATTTATCTATTTTTGAGAGAAAGAGAGAGTGAGCAGGGGAGGGGCAG